CATATAAGGGATGTTAAGAAGTGGGTGATGTGCAAATAGTGTAGTTGATACAATAGGGCAGTGTTTCTCAAACTGTGCTCCGTGGAGACATCTCCAGAGGCTCTGCGAGGTTGACAAACTGGAAACTTCGATAGGTACAACACATACAATCAGTGGACCGCTGGGGCGCCGCATACATTTTTACGCATGTAAAGGGCTCCAGAGCCCAAAAAGTTTGAGAACCACTGCAATAGGGGAAGTCAGTTAAAGCTCTCTATCCCAGCTCGTGCTGCATCCGAGATCTATCCCTGCTGCGGCTCTGCGTTTTAAATGTAGTAAGAGCTGGATGGGCTCCTTAAAATGCAAAGCCACAGTGGCGGTAGCTCCTGGACCAAGCGTAATCTGGGACTGAGCCAGGTTGCCTGCCTGCCCACCCAGCTCCTACTATATTTTAAATTCAGAGCCACAGAAGAAGCTACATTCTTGGGCAACTCTTTCTCCTCCAAGAATCCTCTCTAACCTTGTCATGACCATGAGGGATAGGCAGCAGCCTGGGGACTAGGAGGTTAACTTTACCTAGCCAGGTATCTGTTCAGCCAATAGAAATGTAGATAGGGATTTCAAACTGGGACAAAGGAATTTTGGGGTTTTCCCTTCTTTGTCCCTGGGCAGTTTCTCTCCAGCTACTGAGGGGGACAGACATTTCTCTCTCTCCAAGAGAAGATTCTTCACTATCTGTAAGTAGGGAAAAGTTTAGATAAATCCGTTAGGTTTTATTGTTTTATGGTTTGGCAATGGGAATCTGATGTCTGTGCATTTAAAAATGGGTTTTCCTCTCCTTTGTAACTAAGCTCTTGGCCTGTGGGGGGGTCCCCCCATGAGTATATTAATTGGTGACTTTTCCATCTAGTCATTATGCTTCTAACAGGAGTATTCCAGGGATAATAAAAATTCTTCCTCTTTCTTTTTTATTAACCTGGTAGTGTTAAGTTGTGTATGTCCTGGTTTTACTGTAGGGCTGAGATTTCCCAAGTGATCTCTTCCCTGGCTTTCTTATCATTACTTGGGTGGTGGCAGCAGATTTTTACCCCCAAAATCTAGGTTTTTAGGATTTTGGGGGGGAAGTTTTATACCAAAGCCTGGAAAGATACGGTTTTGGGGTACTTCTGCAGGCCCCCATTTCTGCATTTATCGTGCCAGAGTACGAGGGAGGCTTTGGGAGCAGGCCTTGACAAACCTTCTTGCCTATCTTCTACAAGCCCCAAACTGACCAAAGCCAGAATCCCGTCAGTGATTTTTAGGGAATGGGAGCTTCAAGTCCAACACCTTGATGTAGTGCTGCAGACTAGAGCATATCAGCCTCTCAGAGGTCAGAAGTGCTTTTCTAACACCCTCAGCTCCACAAGTAATTCAAAGACAGACATGGACAGGACAATCCAAGTAAATCAAGGGAAGCAGCATAAACTCACATCAAAACCTAGCAACAGCCTTGCTAGTTAGAACAAGATTACTGTTGCAGTAGATTCAGCCAACCATAAATCATTCATTATAATAATAATAATAATAATAATATTGTGGGGAGGGGGGAAGAGGAGGGAGAAAGTATCTCAATCATGTTCTGGCTCATACCTCTCTCTATCAGCAGCTGGGCCAGGCAGCCGGGGACTCCCTGCAGCAGGGCCAACTCCAGGATACCCCTGGTGGCAGTGGGGCCAGAGTGGGCAGTCCCAGACGGGGAATTCCCCTGGCTGAAACGGGACTAGCAGAGGCAGGCAGCTAGTTGGGGGAACCCCAGGGAATCTCCAGTGGCAGCATGGTGGGCCCTAGCAGCAGGAAAGTGTGGCCAGGAGGTCCCGGCCGGGGAACCCTCAGGTGAAAGCACCCTGTAGCAGTGTGGCCAGCAGCAGCCAGGCTGTCCCAGCCAGGAACCCCAGGAGACCCTGGAGCAGCATGAGGGCACCAGGAAAGGGAGTGGACTAGGCCAGTGTTAGCAGGGCTAGTGGCAGGGCAGGGAGCCCCAGGGAGAGAAGCCTAAGAGCGGGACACCCAGCAGGTGAGCACTGACCTCTCCTACTCCGGGACAGCTCAGGTCCCGAGGGTGCTGGACCAGGGAGGTCCAACCTGAGTTGCTTAGTTTTCTTCCAGTTAGCATCAGCTTATCTAATTCAATTGGAAAATAATTTTTAAATCTGAATTTACATTTTATACCTCATGACGTTTTGCTTTTTAACATTTCTCTGGACAATGAGTTGGTTTCATTTGAAGAGTCTCATCCACTAACAAAATTCAATGTTTGTGTTGTAAATACTGCAGAGGAATATTTAAATTGTGTTTGTAATGGGCTGAATAATCATGCAAATGTTTCTTTATTTACCTTAGGCTTTTTAAAACCTTGGGAGTTTGTATTTAAAATAGCCTAATAATCTGAACTTGATTGGACAGTGGCCCTTTAATTATGAATACAAGATTGTAATGTTCATTACATTTTATCCTGCCAAAAAATCCTCCTCCCCTCTCCCCCAGCTAAGGAGGAAGGTCAAAATCTATAAACTTCAGGATCTCTTCCAGGATGTTTACACTGTTATCAAAGGCTGAACTAGCTCAATCATGCATTTTTGGCCTATGACCACTTTAAAAAAAAAAAGTCAGTGCTCTCGGATATAATTTGTTTTAAGGAATGTTGGTGCCCAGAAAGAGATTACAAAACATAAACAAACACCACCTGTAAGTGTGTGTCTACCAAACTCATGGATGTGAAAAACTGCATCCTGGATTCTGAAATGTGGTCTTTTGTGTATTTTTACACCAAAAATATACAGAAGTACAAAGCATCTCTCAAAGTGGGACTCCTGAGTCAAAAGGCTATGAGGGAAGGGGGGGGAGGATGGTCACAGTATTGCCATCCTTACTTCTGCACTGCCTTCAGAACATGGTAACTGCAGAGCAGGTACCCGGCAGTGAAGGCACCGCTGCTGCCCACAGTAGCAGAGAAGAAAGGGTGGCAATATTACACATGCCACCCACAATTCTGTGCTGCTGCTGGCAGTGGCACTTCCTTTAGAGCTGGGCACCCAGCCAGCAGCTGTCACTCTGCATTCAGAACGGGCAGCTGAGAGTGAAGCTGCTGGCCAGGTGCTCAGGGGGGTAAATTACTACAGACGCGCATAAGGAGGGTGCGATCAAATAAGTATGCAAATCACTACTTAGAACAGTATCCATGTACCCCTAGCTATAGGAGGGATCCTCGACAGATTCCCACCTTGTGACTGTTCCCCAAGATCTGGATGCATGCCCATCAGTCCAAACCCCTTCCATTTCAAAAGGGTTTGCAGTGGGAGGAGGGGGAGCAGAGGGGTTCTTCAGTCACTATAGATCAGTGGTCAACAACCAGTAGATCTGATCCGCTGGTAGATCTTGGAGCCTCTGACAGGTGATCCTGACTGGTTTGGCCAAAAGGCTACCAAGTGCCGGCACTTCAGCTGCCTCTCCCCTCACTGCTGCTCATCTCCTGCCCTTTGCCTTGGAGCTGCCCCTCCCCCTGGGGAGCCTCCTGCTTGCTGTGCAAGGCAGGGGAGGGAGAAGAGGGGCACTGATGTCAAGGTGCCCCCTCTCCCACTCTGTATCCTTTCTCCACAAAGCAGACATAGGGCATTACAGGACTTGGGAAGGAGTTTGCTGGCTGCTTTAGGGAGTAGTGCAAGGCCAAGGCAGGGGTGAGCCTGCCTTAGCGCCACTGCACCACCAATCAGGAGCCACCTGAAGTAAGCAGTGCCCAGCTGGAGCCCACATCCCAAAACCCTCACCCAGTCACGAACCCCGTCCAATGCCCCAATCCTCTGCCCCAGCCCCAAGCACCCCTGGATCCAAACACCCTCCCAGAGCCTGCACCTAGACCCCCTCCTACATCCTGCCACAGGCTATCTCAGAGCCCCTCACACTTCAAATCCCTTAATCCAAGACTAAAGCCTCCATCCCAATCCCCTGCCCCAGCCTGTTGAAAGGGAGGGAGGATGGGGAAGGAGGGAAGATGGAGTGAGAAGGGGCAGGACCTCAGAGAAGGAGTGAGGAGGAGGCGGGTCAAAGGTATTTATATTTGAGGTAGATCTTGGATTGCATTTAATTTCAAAAAGTGATCTCATGCTTAAAAAGGTTGGAGATCTCTGCTATAGATATTGAAAGTTGGAGAAACTCCACCATATCTTAGTTTTTGAACTTTTTTTCCCCCCTTTTTTTCCCAGTTTTAAGCCATTATTGGTTTTGATGATTTGTCACTGTTTTATCCTTGAGGTGTCTGGTCTCTGTCACAGATGCATCTCTCTCTTCCTCCAGTACCACATACACTTCTACTGTCAGTTTCCCATTGCTCACTAAACTCTAATGCAGTGGTCCCCAAACTGTGGGGCATGTGCCTCTAGGGGGACATAGAGGAAGGTTCAAGAGGGGCATGTTCAATGAGGCCTGAGACAGCCCCCACAGGGCAGCCTCTGCCTCAGCTCCAATCTCACCTTTTCCCCGGCCCTCGTCTGCCTCTGGCCCAGATTCACCCCCATCCCACTCCACCCCTACCCCAGCCAGCCTCTAGCTCCAGCTTCTCATCCAAGCTCCATTGCTTAATAAGCCTTGGCTATGCAGTAATGGAGGGAGGATACGGAAAATTCCAGACTGGAAAAAGTTTGCAAATTACTACTCTAATGGTTACCCAGCAAGTTAGCTTTCCCCTGTGATCGTCCAAGCTCCGGTCTACTGACCTTTGTTTTGTAACAGTCTATAAATACTCCCCATCAATCTTGGCACTTGTTTATTACTGTTAAAATCACTTACCTGTTTTTCGTATTTTGGTGTCATCCTCAAAACAGCATATAAAAACAAAAGTTTGCAAATTACTACTCTAATGGTTACCCAGCAAGTTAGCTTTCCCCTGTGATCGTCCAAGCTCCGGTCTACTGACCTTTGTTTTGTAACAGTCTATAAATACTCCCCATCAATCTTGGCACTTGTTTATTACTGTTAAAATCACTTACCTGTTTTTCGTATTTTGGTGTCATCCTCAAAACAGCATATAAAAACCAACCTGCAACACAAAATGGGCAAACTAGTTAGCCCTATTTCACAGTAAATGAAGGGATATGTAATCCTTCTGCCACAAGAGTACAGACCAGGCCAGGTTCAATATAATATGGTGCCGAGGGTTACAGCTAGGGGGTGACTATGAGAATTGAACACGCAAGCGGCTGGACCCCATATCTAAATTTTACACTTCAGATGGAAAAAGTCAGTTTATTGTAATTTAATCATATCCTAAATATTCAAAATAGAACAGATTCTCTGCCCAGCCCAGCTCCCTGCGCACCACTCAGATGGCATGTTTG